GAACACCTGAAGCAGCACTATGCTGACCTGAAAGACCGCCCATTCTTCCCTGGACTGGTGAAGTACATGAACTCAGGCCCTGTTGTGGCCATGGTGAGTGCTTGTGGGGCTGATGGGAAACCAGAGAAAATGGCTTAATTTTCTTTTTTAGACATCTTCCATATATACTCTAAATTGTTTGTTTCACACATGGAGCCTCCTGGAGTTTCTTAGTTAACTGAACTACTAGGAGTTTGGGAAGAGGAAGGAAAGGGGAATCAGACCTTAGGGAAAAAAAGACACCTAGGGAAAGAGGTGAATAAGAAGGATTCTTTCACATGAATCTCTCCAGGGTTAAATAGGGGCTCACTGCATACAAAAAAAAAAAAAAAAAAAAATAAAAGAACACTTTAAAAAACTTTTCATGAAAAATTCATTCAATTATTAAATAAAGCAAAACTGTCTAATCCTAGGCTAGAAATGAAGCATTTTCTTCTGGGTGGTGTTTATGTCTAGCAGGAATGAGAGTATAAGGCAGGGGTCTTCAAACTTTTTAAACAGGGGGCCAGTTCACTGTCCCATAGACCGTTGGAGGGCCAGACCGCGGGCCCCGGAACGAGTCAGCTGCGAAGCAGGACAGGCAGCGGCGGCAAAAACACCTGGCGGGCCGGATAAATGTCCTAAGTGGGCTGCATGTGGCCTGTGGCCGTAGTTTGAGGATGCCTGGTATAAGGAGAGGGTGAACCAGGTGCTGAAAATGTTGAGGGAACAGACCTACCTCCTATTCTCCAAGTGTGGCTTTTTCTTCTGCTGCTCTTTTCCTGGAAAAATACTTTCTCCATTTCTGTCCGTCTTCCTGCTGACTACTTTTCCCTACCCTTTCTTCACTGTTTCCTAGTGTTTGAGGATTTATAAGGATTCTTCCCCTTCTTATTTTCTCTGTTTCAGCTAGACTCGGAAGTCCCCAAGTTGGGTAGGCTTTTCTGTGTGTCTTCGCAATATATTTGGAATAGTTTTTTAGTGTAGGCTCCTACTATCTTCTGGGATTAACGGATAAAAATCCCATCACTGATTGCTGTTAGGTAGGAGCAGATGTTTGTCCCTGCTGGACCAGAGTGGCACATGTGCCGCAATTTCTTTTCCCTACTGTCAAGGTCTGGGAGGGGCTGAATGTGGTGAAGACAGGCCGAGTGATGCTTGGGGAGACCAATCCAGCGGATTCTAAGCCAGGCACCATTCGTGGGGACT